AGAAGCATGGCAGGATGGGATAAAGGTTCAAAGTAAGATAAGAGATGAAAAATAAATCAGATTTTCTCTTACATCTGTCACCCAATCATTTGAAAAAGTGAATTTCATACCAAAGCTCTCCCAGACAGATCAAAAGGACCCAAGTCAATAATGAAAACCACATTATAAAAATGGAAGTTTTCCCATTAACAATGTCTACATCATCACAACAGGACACATAACCAATAGCTGGAATGTATTCCTAAAGCTTCAAAGGCTAGCAAAGAAGTGCTATATCCTTTTATGGGCTGTCTTGACTAAAAGGAAGTATTCAAAGTTGGCATTCTTTCCTGTTTGCTTCAAATAAACTGTAGTTCTGACTCTAGGCCATGTAATTCTTTTCTTCTTTTTGAGCGATTTTTACTATAGGGCACATGCGTTCACCAGAGAGACAGAGAGACAGAGGTGAGAAATCACCCCCTAGGGGGGATGGTCACGCTGCAGTCTCTTCTTCTTCAATCTCCTCTTGGGATTTTGGGTGTGCACATACACGCACCTCGTGTGAGTTTTTAAACCGCCAGGCCCAGGACCTGAAAAGCGGTCAACTACATGGTAGTCCAGTGACGTAACGTATGCCATCTACAACCATTATGCCAACTGCTGGTCCCTGGTCACGCGTTTTAAAGCAGAAGTAGCCCAAGAGATTCACTGGACTGAACGAAGATGACTTCTGCTTCCTTTAATTCAATCTGTCCTACAGTTTTGCACATATAAGACTGGATGTAATTAAAATCCTCTATCAGCCAGTCGATCAACAGACATTCTCATAAATATTAATTCTTTTGCCCTTTAAAGGTTGACAGGCTTGCCATCTGCTACATGAGATAATCAGGAACGCACTGGAGTTTTATCAGAGATGTGAACTACCGATGAGAGCTACGGACAAGGTTCTCATTTACATAATTCCAACTCACTTCAGCAGTGAATACATGTCCAACAAGTTGTTCTGAATGGGGGTTCCAGTGACAGCCCAACGGGCATGCGCTTGTAGCTTACACACCGCTATGGATGTCTGTACCCGGGGATTCTTCACATTGTGAGCTTCATCCAGTATGATTCGAGCCCAGACGACTCGCAGCAAAGGTGTTGAGATGCCCTAGAAGAAAGGCAAGTGGAATCCAATAATAGTATGGAAAAATGCACGTGTCCTCAAGGAGATACAGGGACATGACAGACAAGTGTTGAGGACCCACTCTCACCTTCAAATCTGAGGGCTTAGGTCGGGTACACTGAAACAAAGAGTTAGACACCTGGTTCAAATAAATAGGACACGTAAGAGTCTCAGTCTTTGAGCTTAGGATACCTAAGAGTCCAATATTTCCTAATTTGAGTTTTAATTTATTCATTTAACCCACAGTTGAGCAACGGCTAGAAGCCAGGAATTATACTAGGTATGGAGCCTATAAATTCACTCTCTCGACAAAATATTTACTAAAATTATGAAAATTCACAAAAAATTAACCAGATGTCTAATCTTAGGTATGAGGTACTAAAGCCAGACATAAAAGATAGCTACTAACCTCATGGAGCTGACAGGGAGAGAAAAACAAGTATAAAGATAATTACAACATGATGTATGTGTGTGGACAAGTATAAAGATAATTACAACATGATGTATATATTTGTTAAGTCCAATACATGGATAATCCAATATTCGACTATGCGCATCTACCTGCCCTTGTTCACTGCTGTATCCCTGCTACCAGAAACAGCATCTTACACATGACAGATATTCTGCCGAATGGATGCAGTGCTATGACATAAATAAGGAGAAGGTGACAGGAGTGGCATTCAACCAACAGGGAAAAGACGGGAAGTGAATGGTCCAGAAAGGATACTTAAAATAGGATAAAAAAAGGAGTGAAAGCAAAGTGTTTCATTCTGAGAGCGAACAAAGGTGTGACAGGGTGACAGAGCATGGCAGGGAACTACAAATCCATTGGTATGACTGAACATGAACTGCATAAGAAGGGTTAGGGTGTGGGTGATGAGGGAAACACAGGTACGGCAAGATCAGAAAGGACCTAATCAATCAGGTTAGGGAATTTGGAGTTTACCTTGAGAGTAATGGTAAATCATTGAGAAATCTGAAAAGTTTATTATTTGTAAAAAGTCAGAGTTGGCCATAAACTGGAGAAGCGGTCTAGAAATCCCCCTAAATATAGAAATCTCTGACTATCCTATTTATACTAAAAACATATGCAAAAGATTAGTTTGGGATAATGGAAAGAAATCCCCACAATATTTATGAGATAAAGCCCTTACATTAGATCCACAACAAACACCTAGGGGTTTTTTTGGTCTTGTTTTTTAATTTTTTAATTTTTATTTTTTTTATTTTATTTTTTGGAGAGATTTTCACTGTAGGGCGCGTGCACTCACCAGACAGACAGAGACATAGAGACAGAAAGCGAGAAATCACCCCCCAGGGGGATGGTCACGCCGCAATCCCTTCTCCTCCATTCTCCTCTCAGGATCTTGGGCACGCAC